AGAGCAAGGGGATAACTTATTCGGGTAGCTACATCTCACCCGGTGGATGCATCACGGATGAAGTGCCCGCTCGCATACAGAAGGGTCGAGTTTATGCTGCGGTAGTTCAGCCAGTTCTGCTATGCGCCACAGAAACTTGGCCATTAAGAAAACAGGATAAATATAGACCGTCTGTATTTGAACGCCGCTGTCTACGTCGCATTGCACGAGTCTGGTGGGGTAAACGGATGAGCAATGCTGAGGTGAGGCGTACAGTTTCGGGTATTCGCGGTCGCCCACTGAAGCAAGTGGTCGATCTCCATAGATTACGCTGGTCGGGGCCATGTGTTACGGTCACCTGATAGGTTGCCACGGCGAGCGATGTTTGCCGGGGCAGGTAGTGGGTGGAATAATGCCAATGATGGCCAATATAAGACCTGGTACGAGGGTATAAGAACCCTGACCAGGAATCTGGGTCACACTAGTCCCTTTAGGCTTCCTGGATGGGGACCTCGGGACCTCACCGTTAGAAAGCTCCCTATCTGTTCAGCTGACGCCTCATTTACACAATGAATTGGCCATTTAATATTGTCTTTTCAAAAGCTACTTCTGTTGATCCGACTAGGAATGCCTAAAATTCTGAACTTGGTCAATCTAAGACGATACACATCAGCGAATTTCGACCGATTTTGCCATACGAATGGCAACATCCACGCATCATGACGCTCTTCCCAACTTACTGGACACGGAATTCAATGAACGAGCCAAACTATTTTTCCCACTCATTCCGAGGAGCCTTGCGTGAAGCGTGAGGAGAAACTCTCACGAATGAGGTGATCGGAACATTGAATCTGGCTAGCATACCGGTGTAAACATCCCATCTCGGAGTTGACGGACGTGAATGTATCTGCGTGCAGCTCGGTCGTGAGATCAAATCCATGAGACATTTTGAACCCCAAAAAGCTTAAGAGTCGCGAACAGAATAGATGAATATTGCAGTCAAACAACACAAGCCCTGTAGGTTATGACTGCAACATGCGCCGCTCTTGATCGGACCGGTCCGTTCTCGCCTGACAAGAAAATTATCCACCCTTGTGGCACAATATTAGCATACATTCCTACTCATCACCCTAGTCAAGTTAAAACTAGCGGGGAGACTATAGGGAATCTGTAAATGCATTGAATGTATTTCACACGCGTCTAATTACATGCCAAACCAATCATCGTGTAATAATCTTCATGAAAAGAAAACAGGACCATAATACGTTGTTTGCGGACGGAAATCTGCCAGAGTGTCCAGGCCAAAGTAGATGAATTTTCATAAGGCATTCACAACTGGAACCTTTGGTTAGCCAAAGCCTGACCCGCAAGGCAGCAGGGCGGTGCGTGAAAACCGCAATCCATTGGGGGCCGGTGTCCAATTCATCGGATCATACGCCCTTTGGACGGGGTCAAACGTCCAAGGTGCTCAACCGGGGGGGTATGTGTGGTTCGTGCGCCTCCTCTTGGTTGCTTTGGAATCAGGGGT